CAAAGGAAAGAACACTGGTATTGTACTAAACAGCAAAATGCCATGTCTCTAATAATCTGGGCTTCAGTATCTATCAACAAAAGCTACAAATTTAGCAAGGTACAGTATTTCAAAAGGTGGAAGGACTTGATCCAGCACATCTGCCTTATCGACTTTTGACAGCAGGAGCAAGTATCACTAGGCACCTTTCACCTAGGCAAAGAATTCAACAACTTTGTCCAGTGGAACAAACTCACAGAGCCCTCCTAAACAGCATTGCCTGTGCTGCAGACATCAACATTGATAAACGTCATTCAGTGTGGGAATCACTAAAAATAAATAAAATTCATTGTAAAGAGGGGAGAGAAAGAGACAGGAAGGAAAGAGAAAGAAGAAGAAAGATAGAGGAAAACTGTAGGGGTTTTTTGTTTTGTTTTGTTTCCCCTTGAGGGAAAAAAAGGAAAGTAGTAGTTTTGGATAATGCAACTGTGCTTTTTGAAAGTATAAACTTTGCATTTTCTAGACTAATATTGTTCCTGTATTTTAGTTGTTTTTGCTTTATTTGTGCTATATTCATGGAGCTTAAATATTTTTTTACGCTGATTCTATCAACTGTGTACAAACCCAGATAAAATGTGCTAACTGACTGCAACTGCTATGGCAATCAAAGAGGAGCTACGAAGGGAAAGCAGAGCCTGCATGTACCAGGCCTGAGATTTAAGGGCCAGGCCTCCTGATAAAAATCTTCATTAGCCATCTCTAAAAACTCCTGAAGGCCACATATTTGGGTAGGCCTGAAGCGCTCTATAAAATACTTTAAATTCAAGCTCACCTTTCTTAAATTGAATTTATATTCCACCTTTCTTTCAAGATGGGATTTTAAGGTGGCATTACAGGCAACCTCCTCTCTAAAGCTGAAATATCCTTTAACTGCACCAGAATTCTGACATTTTATGCTACCAAATTATATCTTTGGACGATTACCCGGTTCTGAAAAAAAGAGGTCTCCTTCCACTGGCTTTTTCTGGCCTTCATCCCCACCAGTGTTTGCTTTACTTCCTAGTTGATCCTCCTCCCTCCCCTGACTTGATTAGAGCTAGATCTGGAAATCACATGCGGTCTCTCCTTTAATCCCCTCAGTGCTGTGATGCATAGTTTGACTTAATTACATACAGTACTTCCTTTTACCTGCAATGCACATAAAGAACCAGGAATTAGTTTATGAGGCACACTTTGAGACAGAGTTGAAAAAAGACTCTGGCAGAAAAGTGGACAGGGAGTTTACCTGGGCTGGTTGTGTTAAAGCGCAACCTACAAATGTTGCACAGACACTCTAGGATCAGTGATTTCCTAGCCCTAAAATGGTCCTAAAGGTGATGCCGTACACTGCACTTCTGAAGAAGCCTTTATTTCTTTTCTTTGCTGTCTTTTTTTTTCTTCGCAAAGATGAATTAGCAGTGCCATCTACTATATATTCCTGGGAAAGGATATGCTGCAAAGTCAGAGAGCAAAGTAACAGCAAAGTCAGAAATAGAACTGAGATTGTTCTGATACTGTCCTGCCCTCTGAAACAGTTTGGACGGGGGTACACGGGTAGCAAAACGTTATTCACAGAGGGGTAACCAGCTGTAGAATCTGCTGCCACAGCTGGAGTTAAATTCTTCTCATTTATATTTTAAGGAAGGAGGAAAGGAGACTTGAAGATCAATGCTACTTGAAGTTTGCTGCACAACCAAGATCTGGGTAAAATGCCTACACTCGAGGACTAGGAAATCCTGAAAAATAGTTCCCTCATTCACTCATGATATGATAATCAAATAAGTAAAAGTACAGCCAACAAAGTGTCCCACCACACAACCTATGGTCAATTTGCTTGATTCCATGAGGGCATACTTCCAAATAGCAATTTAAAAAGAAAAAAATTAGTAAATTGTCACCTAGCATCATATTTAAGGCCACCCAAACAAAGAACCTACTAAACTGTTATTTTAATGTTCTCGGTGTAATACTGGAAGATTTAATATAGATTTTGATGCTGGATCAATTAATGCTATCGGTATAACTGGTATAGCAATACAGCATAAACTTTGCTTTAAACTTAGCCACTATTGTAGAGGAGCTGCTTAGATGTCTGGCATGGAAAATTCTGACAAGCTTAGGCTCAACTAGCTGTGGAGGAGATTAAACCAATTATTAGGCGTACTGTAGTTGTTCCACCACCCACTGAGGGAGATGGGGGGAGGAGAACAACCACACACTGTTTTTTGAATCATAGCTGCTCAACTCAATTTTTCATTACAAAGAAAACACAAGCAATGACCTGGCTTGCTTTAAAATGGCGCTTCCTTTCTGAATAGTCTTTCTAATGTTTTCACCCGCTACTATTACAGTTGATCTATTCCAAAGTACAACTAACATAGGTGCAATAGGCAAATTCACCTAAAGAAAGACAGGACACTGTAAAGAGAGTAGGTCTTATATTTAACTTGTTAAGCAGACTAGTTGATGATCAAGATTGCTCCAGTTGCAACTTACTATTGGATTTCAGCCAATATATAAAATGCCAGAAGACTCTTTTATAGTCTTGTTGCAGGAGGCTAACACAGCTACCCTTCAGCAAATTATAAAATCATCTAGGAGTCTTTCTAGATCAAATCAAGCATCCACCCACTGCTATCTTCCCCAAAATGATACCCTCTAGACATATTGGACTACAGCCCTTATAACCCCTTTCAATGTACTAGCCGGAGGTGATGGGAACTAGAGGTCCAACACAAACCATAACTTTCCCGGCTGGAAAACCTGAACAGAGCAAGTGTCAAGTAGCTTATTTTCTATAGTGCCTGACCAGCTGTTTTAATGAAATTCTCCAAAAGTCAACAGTTCTCTCCATTGTTGTATGCCATTCAGGAGTCTTGAATCTGCAGATTCCTTTTAAATAACAACTCCTTTCATTAATCTGATTTTTCTTATCACCTTTTAATACTTCACTACTTTGAAAAATCTGTTTTTCTGTCTGTCTTTCTCCTGAAAGCTTTTTCAACAGGGATAGATATGAAAATGTAAAGAATGGCATCATAATGTCTTACTTTTAACTATGAATTCTTGGATTCTTGCACCTTCCAAGATTCCTTATTCTATATACAAGTATGAAAGGTACAGAACCCCTCTCTTCTATAGCTGTTCATCCTGTGGGTGAAAGCAGTGCCACCTGAAATGTGAGAAGGAGGATCTCTTCCTAGAAATAACTCTTTCCTCTTGGAAATGCACTAGAGGGGGGTTATCCATATTTGAATATCTCTGCGCAGCTGGACTTAATAAGGGTCCAGCCCTGGAGCTGGATGATCCACTCATGCATCCGGTGGTGACAGTAACCCCACTCATCCTTCCAATCACTCCCAGAGCACTTCTCTCTTCCTGCCGAGTGGGAAGAGAGCAGAGCTCCAGGAGTGATTGAAGGATGAGCGAGGCCGCCGCTGCCGCCACCACTGGATGCGTGAGTGGATGGTCCAGCCCCAGGGGCCGGACCCACATTAAGTCCAGCTGCGTGGGGATATTCTTATTCGTATACGAATACCCCATCTCTAAAATGCACATGAAAAATAAGGCTTCCCTTGCATTATAAAAACAAAGGCGGCAGAAACCTCCACCTGTATTTATAGTTGAACTGCTTTTTAAAAACCATGGGGCCATGACTGTCAAGCCAGGAAGGAACCAAATGTTTAAAAATAAAGGTAGGCATAACAGAGGTGAGCTACAACATCAGAGCATTACCTACAAAGACAAGCAAATGGCAGTACAGAACCTGCAAAATTAGGGACAAGTTCTCAAAGAACCATCTCCATTCAGTGTGCAAGGATTGCCCATGCCTAAGCAGTATGTCCATACACAAAAACATAAAACAGAGTGCACCCCTTGCTGACAATGGCCACAGACATAGACAGCTGACTAGAAGAGAGGAAGAGGTTTAAAATGTGAAGTACAGGTGCAGATGCCGCAGAAGATAACAATTAAAGACCCAATGAAAGGAAAATGGAATAGTGGAAGAAGCCTAAGAAAATATAAGATAGTTTTTTCTTTCCTTATTTGAAAAAGGAAATTTGGCCAGGTATTGGCCTTTAGAACTCAGCTACAGTCCAGTTTTATCACCATACTTCTCATAATTCCCACAACTGACTTAGCATAACACTAAGAAAATAGCTGGAAAATAAAAAGCACTTCAATTGCTACACCTAAGGAGTGGTGGTACTAAGCAATGTCTACTTAGAGAACCATATGTAAATGACACATTTTTTCCTGCACTTATTTTCCAGAAAACATCTCCTTGATTAATTCAACGTATTTGTGAACTAGGGAGGAGGAAAGCACTTGAAATTCAGTGATGCATGATTACATTATACGCTTGATATCTTACCACATGAAAGCAATGTAGACATGGGATTAAAACTCTGCTTTAAGAAAATTTTCTCAATGTACAACAAAACCCAATTCTGCAATTAGCACAAGCAAGGCACAGTCTGCACAGGTGTACTGAATGGTGCTGCTTTTGTAAGTTGTACCGTTTATGTGTTTGGAATTTTGTTTAAGTGGTGACATTGCACAATTTGGATGTTTTCCCAGTTTGTGTCATGGACTGAGTAAAAACTGTCAAAACTGTTAACACTTTAGAAGTAGGTATGACATGTATGGCCAAGAACTGGCAGAAAAACTTCAACCTATGTCCCAACAATCTCAGATTCTCTCAGGCTTTTAAACATTTAACAGACACTGCCATATGTTCCTACATGTAACTATGAGGACTAATAACTTGCTCTTTTTTAGAAAGGTATCCGTAGGTTTCTCAAGCAAGATGGTAGATTCTGCATTATAAGACTCAGTCCACGCTCCACAACACAAGCAATCCAGTCATGTCATTGTAGACATCTGCAAATATACCTCTCAACAATTGAGCCAAATCAGGCCTTCTAAGCACCACAAAGATATACACAAACAAGTGATCAGTGGAACTCATCTACACTAACCTGAAGTTCACACCAAGCAACTTCCACCCAGGTTTCTGTGTCTAGGCCTTTGAAGACTGTTTTGAAGGCTCCTCTTCCTAATTCAATGTCAAATTTCAGAAATCTTCCACCCGGTGATGTAGCCACAGCCTTCATTTCTGCCTCTTCCTCTATCTCCTTCTTGGTCCTTTCCTTTGAGGCTTCCAAACTGACCTTCGAGCCATGCTCACTTTTGACCTCCTGTTCTGCCACCAGGCTACTGGCAGAAAGATGGGCCATCCTCTCGCCGCCCACCAAGAACTGCTCTTGTTCATCCCTTGGAGTGGTCTCCAAGACCTTTTCATCTTCCATGATCTCCACACTCTTTCGGAAAAACCTTTTCCTTTCTGTGCCTGCTCCAGAAGCAGGTGCCTGAACACCCTCTTTGGTCCTGGCCTCCATAGTCAAGGCAGCATCAAGAAGGGGGTCCCAACATTCCAATGGAACTCCATCAGGTTTCTCAGATTCCTCTGTGCTAGCCGATTCACCAGAGTCCGTAGCCATGACACAGCAGAGCCTTGGCACTTCAATATGTTAAATGTTTCCTTCCTCTTCACTTCAGGCACATCATGAGTAACTGCAATGTTACCGGGGACTCACTTCCTCTCAGATTATCATAAGATTCCCATAGCAACCTGTAACAAGAGGGAGGGGAGGGCAGACAGGATCATTTTAGCAGGTAAAATACAAAGCAGACACAAAAAATGCAGCCTTCATTAGCCCAGCCTTCCTTCCCCAATCCTGATAGCACGCACCTGAGTTACAAGCAATATAGATCACTTGGCAGATACTATTGGCTTCAACATCTTAATAATCTATCGCATTATGTGATAATTCCATATACGAAAAACTGAACCATTTGACATGTGAACAACAGAACTTGCTGACCTGTATTTCTCCTCCCCTTCCAACCCCTTTAACCCACCAACAATTGTAAATGAAGTCACTGAACTGCCAAAGCTGTTCAATGGCCAAAGTTATATGTCATCTTAGAACTGCAGAAGCTGGAAGGAACCCTGTGGATCATTGAGTTCAAGCCCGTCAAGGAGGCACACTGTGGGAATCAAACTCCCAACCTCTGGCTCCACAGCCAGAGATCTAAACCACTGAGCTACCCAGCACTTCTCAAGCATCCCTTCCCATTTATTATTTCCCACTTTAGATCTTCCACAGCATGGCCTACACTTAAGGAAACAACATTCCTAATCATATGGAATATTCAGAAATTCTAGAAAAACACTACAGCCTGACCATTCCAGCCACAAAAGAAAATCTTTCTTGTACAACCACCTGTCCAAAAAGTGATCCCTAACTGGTGAAGAAAAAAAAGGAAAGATAATGATACATATGCACAGTTCATATCACTTGCGGACATGACACAACAGTATAGGTGTAAATGTACAGCTCCCCTTGTCTCTTGATAAGAAACATCCGAATGCTTCTGCAGACACTGCCTCAAGAACAACAGAGGCAAGTTAACTGATTTTCTTGGACAACCCCCTTGTGTCCTGCCTGGACCACAAATGCTCTTTATAAATTAAATGAAAGAAACATTTTTATTTTATTGACTTGAATGCTTAATAATTAAGTTCAGATAAACTGGCATTTCCTGCTAGTATGTTGCATTATGAAAGTAACACTGATCATAGTGCTTAGGATTCTGGATGCGTTTTTGCGGGCTTTTTTAAAAAACAGCTTTGAAATAATAATAATTAAAAAAGAAAATCCATTGCTGAATGGAAATGCATTTTATTAGCCAGCACACTGCAACAACAAAACTTCAAGTAAATGGATGACTTAATGGACTCTGCTCAAATCCCTCCAGATACTTACAGTTAAATGCCCAGTTCATTTACAAATGTGGAGGACAACATATTGGCAACAAGGGCACATCTACTCAACAAACAGGCAGAAGCCAAAAACCTCAACTTCCTCTTCTGGTTAAATAGCCAAAGCTTTTTTTAAAATAAAGTGTTCCTAAAATAATCCAGCCATCTCTATGCTATTTTATCAAGCATTTAATCTTCCAGGAAAACTTTTAAGATATTTATCTTTAAAAGAGCAAAGGGAAGGAAAGAAAGGCCTGGAACCTTATCAGTGAGCATACCAGCAACCTGAGATGACCATGAAGAAACTGTTCCATTCAACAGCTAAGCCGAAAGGGAAACAAGCCTGTGGGACTTCTGAGCAGGACTACCTTGGTTCCCAGCTAGACATTTTCAGATTCTCTGAATATTAGATTTTGATAGGGAATGAAATATACATGCAGGAGAAAAGAGAAGAAATATTTGAACAGTCTCGCAAAACATTGCCAGGAGACAGAAGTTATATCTTTCAGCCATTTTGATTCATTTTTCAGTAAAACTTTTGTAATAAACAGAGATCAGATTTATTATCAACAGGAACACATGTCACAAGCTGAGAAATAAAGTGTAATATTGGCCAGAATTTTGTTTTTTTGGTTTACATGTAACAAAGCACTTGTCATATTACTCAGCACATGCCTGTTTTACATTCAGGTACACACTTCATAATGTGACCTGTGCCTCATTAGTTTGTAGCAATCTGCTGCAGGGAGTTTACACATTTTAACTTATGCATATAAATCACCAACAGGATTCTAGCCATTGTTTTTCCAAACATCTCATAATTTCTAACAACATCCTATAATATGCAGTTCTGAACACTACTAGGGTAGCAGTCTTTCCAAAACAAACCACTTCTAAATTAGCTTCTCGGAGAAATACAACCAAAGCTGTAGTGCTTTGGCTCAGGAATATATTCTTTATGGATTACCTCTAGTGTCCCATGTTCTCAAAATGCACATAAAGCAGAAACTAATTAGGAGTACATACTTCAAGGGAGGTAGCTATGTTAGTCTGTTGCAGCAAAATCAAGAGCCTTGTGGTACCTTGAAGATTATCCAGTATTATTTGATGCAAGCACATAGAGCCCTCTCTGTGGGTACACGAGCCGTAACTCACAATCGAGAATACTTACTCATTCTCCAATCCTGGATTTTGGCACTCTCCTCTGCTGGTGCAGTGGTCCAGCAGAGGGGTGCAATGGCAACCATCACCAGTCTAGCTCAATGAGGGATTGAAAGACTGGTAAGTATTTCTATACAGTATTAATACCGCCTATTGGGGGGGGGCATTTAACCCTTGCAATACAATTGTTTTTTTTTCTAAACTAAAACTTCAACATTCGGATTTTAATTGCAGTGTTGGCACTTTGAAATAAATAAGCGGATTTTGTGTTGCAGTTTGGGCACTCGGGCTCAAAAAGGTTCACCATTACTGCCCTAAGCCTTCTCACAGATCTGATAATCTAAACCATCATAAAGAAAACTTCAGATAAACTCTATGCCATAAATGAGAAAGAATACAAATGACACCAAGAGGATACCAACAATGCTAAATGGCAGCAATGAAAAAGTAATAAAAGGCAAATACCGGTACTTTTTTCTTTGAAAAGTATTAAATCTTGTCCATAAAAAGGATATTAGAGGACAGCACAACATCTGGGAAAACAAACAATAATAATTGCTAATTGTTACATTGATTTTAATTTCTGGCAGTCCCCCTTCCAGGTTTTTCTAGATATAGATTACGCAGAAATCATTTGCCATTCCCTTCTTTTGGTGGCACCCTGGGACTGTGCAGTTTGCTCAAGGCCACACAGGCTGCTTTTTTCCTGGAAGGCACCATGGGGAATTGAACTCCCAACCTCTGACTCTGCAGCCAGATACCTAACTCACTGAACAAAACAAATACAAGTCAAAAACAGGTAGAACATGCAAAGAAAAAATCTGACCGTATTCCAACATACCAGAAGCAGGAAGCAATCTGATTACAGAAAATTAAAAAGCAGTACTGAAAGTAGACATGGAAACTGTAGGAAAGCTAAATTGATTCTTCACTTCTGTCTCCACCGAGTTATCTGCACTTTAACTATGTCCACTTCCATCAAGCAAACTGATTCACTCACGGCATATTTTCTTTTTATTGTATTTTCTATTTATATTACTATTTATAGACAGGCAAAACATTGTATTCTACTCTGGCATCTGTCAGGTTAAAGGGGAGGGTGTTATAAGAAGTCACCAAAGGATGACATTTCAGAACAAAGCAACAAACTGAAAACTGACAAGTCTTGGAAGCAGAATGTCATTTACCCATGAATTCAGAAGAATTAAGGTACAACACAACTGATTATTTAACAGAAATGTGTAACTCCTCATTAAAGTTACATGTTTTGACTGAAGATGAAACATTGATTTTTAACAAGAAATCCAAGAAATTATAGCTTAATCAGTGTATCCAGATAAACTTGTTAAAATATGTTAACGTTTGTGGCTACCTATGCCAAACAGGCTGGCAATCACTATTTTAGGCTGAATACCAAGAAGCATTTTCTAGCTATAAAGCATTATGCAAAAGGAACAGGTACAAGTCTATTAATGTTTAACATATCTCCCTTGCTTCCTTTATGCAGTATAAAGACTTAAAGAAATTTTCAAGTGAAATGTGCTCAGAAAATTAATCCTAGCTATTTGCCACTCTTTAACATGAAATATTATTAACAGCTGTCCTGGCACCATCAAAATATATGAAAAGTATGATTTCACAGGTGCAACTCTGCTGAAAGGGTCATTTACAAAAAGGTATTAAAAGCATATGCCAACAGGTGCAGACACACGACATGTGATCAACAATTCACCCTTGAAGCCAAAAGCCAGCTGAGTCTGTGACATTCCCATGATGACTCCTAAGTCTAAAGAAACTCTAATGTGTACATACAATTCCCAGTTTTAAAAAAAGATAGTCATAAAGATGTTTTTTTTAAAAAAAGATAATCCACCACTTAGTTCGTTTGCCACGTTGTTCAAAAACAGCAAGCAATGAGAGCAGGTGATCAAAGATAAGCTAGAAGCAATTTATATATTTATTTACAAGTTGGTTGTTATTGGTTTTAATCAGCTCAGTCTCAGGAGCTTTGCCTAGTCAACAATGCACTGAACAAGCCACTTCCTTCAGAGCGATACTGATCTTACTCAGCACTGTCTAGGTCTCAACCACAGTAATGTTACCCTGTTTCCCAAAAATAAGACCTAGCCTGAAAATAAGCCCTAGTAGGATTTTTCAGGATACTCATAATATAAGCCCTACCCCAGAAATAAGCCCCAGTTAATTGAAAGCCCGCCCTACACCATGGTGCAGCAACCAAAAGAAGATGACATGACTGTACAGTATCCGAATAAATGTAGATTGTTGTACATGAAAAAATAAAACATCCCCTGAAAATAAGCCTAATGCATTTTTGGAGTAAAAATTAATATAAGACCCTGTCGGGGAAACACAGTATATAATACAAGTTCACCATATACGATGAAGATTCCAAAGCCTGAGAAATCCACAGGGACAAAGCAAAAAGAGGAGAACACTGGAAAACATGACTTCTCAAGAAAACTGGAAGCAACGGATGTGTTTAAGTGAACCGAAGGAATTAAGGATTAGAAATTTCAAATCAGCTACCACTGAAAAGAGGAAGCATAGGTATTTATTGTTGCTACTGAATTTAGTACAAGCAGCAACAGACTTCAGTCACAGCAAAATCATTCAAGAATGGATGC